GAATAAAAAGAAACCAACCAAACAAAAAAGGAGCTGTTACTGTCTAATTACTACACTGAAATCCTTTACTGACTCACCCTCTCAGATGGGCTACTTACATCAATATTTTCAGGACACAATTTTAAAACAAAATTACTCTCATGAAATTTTAGGACCTGAATTCAAGAGGAAAGAACATTTGAAAATATTGGAAACTGCAAAAATGTAGTCATTCTCTGAAATAAGTCAATGAGTGTCTGTTTGTCATTATACAATAAGTACAGTTAAGTCCTCAAGAACATTAAGCTGTGTCATTTGCCCTACAAAAAGCTAAAGGAAAATAGATTCTGTAAACACAGGTTCTCTAAATTAATAGGTTCTTTTCTTCACACTTTGGTCCAGAAAAAGGATTAAGAATCTGTTTCACAAGTAAAAGTGAGAAAATGTTCTTATAGATAAAATTAATTACATTTATTAATTGTCAAAATTCACATTTTCAAGCCTTCATTTCATCATCATGAACCCCTTCTCTATACTGAGGGTGGAACTTTGACACTTGCAACCTAAATCTAAAATTGTCATTGAAAACAGAGCATGTTATCAAACTGTTTCAACCGAGGTAATGCACTTCTCTTCCCTGGCTTTTATTTCTTCATGTGTCAGTCAGAGAGTAATTTATCTACTGATTTCTTTGTGGGAGTCAAGTAACTGAATCACAAAAATTCTGAGCTCCTTTTTAAGCTCTGCTCCTTACTTTATCTGTGACTTCAGACATGCCACTTAATCTTTCTTTACTCCATTTCCTCCTGCAAAAATGGAAGCTGTAAACCATTCATTTTTATTCCTTCTTTCACAGAGATGAGTGCTCTTCTCCAACCCTATTTGATATTGAAACATGGGCTAACTTAAAATTCTGTGCTGCAGATCAAAGACATGTTCATGTAGAAGTACCTGAGCTAGAAGGCAGGTATCTCAGGTGTGGCAAACAGTTTAATTAGGACTGCATTGAAACAAATCTCGAGGGAAGATCATACAAGCCATAACCTGCAGTGCTGCAGTTACACCACTATAGGTCTTCTAGCTAAATTAAACAAGAAACAAAACTGATTAGGCCACTACATGCATAAATAAACTGTAGATATGCAGAAATCAGGGGTAGGGAGAAGGAATATAATTAAATATTTCTGTGAGCTGCAAGAAATCTGAGATAGACCTAGTAGAACCAGGTGAAGGGAAATGAAACAGAACAATGAAAGCTCTGCTTAAAGATCATATCTGTAATTAATAACATAGGAATTAGTATGAAAAGACTGTCTTGTCCATTTCTCAAATTGTGAGAGTACATCTCCAGCTATCCCTACCTTTGCTACAAGAAATAGATGCTAGGAAGATTTATAATTCCAAGGAAAGTAAAATTATAAGGAAACATAACAATCCATAACATTTAAAAACTAAAATGGAACGCTTCCATGGTCCTTCTCATAATGAAAAAATGAATAGTCACTAAGACAGTTAAATACGAGTTAAAAATAAACAAAACCAAACAATTTTGGTAGCCTTCAGAGGATTTTGCTGTTGAAAGACATCCTTCAGGCCAGTAACTTGGCTTGTGGTAAATTAGTGGGTTTTTAGTACTACTACTATTATTATTATTTAGAAAATCACATGCTGACTATAAACTGTTAGGGTCAGGAGGAGAGGTAATTCTGGAAGTTTCTGTCACAGAGTTTTTTAAATTTTCTTTTGAGATGTCGTATTAGGCATGATCAGAACTAGAAAGCTATGACAAAAGACCAGGAAACGAATTTAGCATGGTAATGTATTTGCCCTTGATATACAAATATGTATGTAATGGAAATGTTCTTCAGAAAATTATTGTGCAATTTACATTAAGACAGTACAATTCTAACAGCAAAATCAGAGAAGGCTGCACATATGAGCAGAATTTCCTTGTAAGGAAAGCTCCAAGGGCAGGGGATAAATTAACTCAGAAGTTACTTTTGGTTCTGCAGATTTTACTAATTAACAAGATCTTTGCATACTGAATTTTCACAGTCAATCTGCTAACATTTCTTTTTTTCTTTCTTTTTTTTTTTCTCCCACATCTGACACCACAGCTAATCAGCAGAATAAAACTTCAATCTACATCTGACAGTCAGTAGGCTGGTGGGCAATGTACACCATATTCTAAGAAAATCAACGCCCTTACCCCTTTTTTCCAGTTTTCCAGTGTTTTATTCTCAACTGAGAAAATTTAAAGAAGCTCCTAACAGCAAATAGAAAGCTGAATTTCCTATATAATCTGCCTGTGAACTGAAGCTTCTTAAATTTGCCTTAACTATAAAGATTACTTAGTCATCTGGGCTTGAAAAAATAAGAAGGAAACATATTGGAAGGTTTCATATGCTGTGCTGGAGATTCTTATTTTAAATTCTAAAATGAAAGGAAATCCAAAACAATTAGTTATAACTGTATTGTTTCACACCAGCTGAAATTAAATGGTAAATATTTGAAGTAAAAATTTTTAACCAAAATCACTTCCAAAATGCTGTTTCCATGGAAAATCTTCATAAAAATCCAGTATAAATCCTGATTAAAACCTAACTTAGCCAAACACTGCAGATTACCTAGATTCCAATTAAATGTGACAAATGAATGCTTGACAGACTTAAATTTAAATTCTATTTCTGTCAGAATGATCCATTAATGTTGAAAACTACACTATCAGAATTTCAACAATGCAATAGTTAAAATACAAGTGGACTTAAGAATCATATGACAGAAAACTCTCACTCAAATATCAGGCATCACATGTATGAAGGAACAAAAGTACATTCCATCCTGTTCCATCAGTATTTATAGATTAATGTTAACAGAAATTTCTGGAGGTAGTTGGCATGTCAGTGTTGAAATCTTGTCTTTAAAATGTGACAGCAAAATCTAGAAGTCTGTAGAGTATAATTTTCACTACAATATCACCGATCTTTTAAAGGTATCTCTTCAAGGTTTTTAAAGGAGGAGGAAATCCTATGCATGTCCCAAACAAAAGTTTTTACTGGAGATTTTTTTTTTTTGTTTGTAATGAACTAATGTATATCTACCTCTATCTTTCCATCTATCTATCTATCTATCTATCTATCTATCTATCTATCTATCTATCTATCTATCTATTAACTTTAGAATACTATTTTCAAAACCAAATCCAAGAAATTTATTCTACCAAATATAAAATAAACTATTAAAAAAATTCTTAGCTATTAGAATGCAATGCCAAGTTTTTTACATCAATATGAAAACCTAAACTAATTTGCTTTAACTTATGACACTGATTAAGTGCTTTTCATTTTCAATTGCACTTCAGTTAGTGTGATTTTCTTTTTTATTTGCTACCAAATACATTAAAATTTATATTCATTTGTGATTCTACAGTTTCTCCAGCATGGATCAGGCATATCCCATGTAAAAATACTTTTTGAACTCTGAATTTCATGTCTACAAATTCTTTTCATTGTTGGATGTCCAAGGGAATTTACAAATAATTTAATTATCCTAATCACAACAAAACAGACAATAAAATAATCAGCCCAATTTAGGTACAAACTCTATAAGCTTTTTTTTCTGAAATTTTTTCCAGTAATACCATTATCACTTTTTCCCCCTACCACATCCCCAGAAATATGAAATGTAAACAAATATATTCATATAAACAGCCAAGGAGAATATATAAATGCAAATGTATAAGCATACATTACCTAATATATCTTTAGATGGATAATACTGTCTTTCTTTTTAGTGAATTAATTTTTTTGCTATTGGGATATACATCTTAGGAATATATAGACTGCTGTAGCCATTCTTCAGTAATATATACTAGATTTGGAAGTATCTTACCATGAAAAGTAACATAGTTTTAATGGGTTGACATGTCTAACTCAGATAAGACAAAACCCCAAGAACAATTATTCTGTTTTGTAATCTCTGAAAAGCTAACATGCACTTAGCCAAACTAATTAATTCATTCTATAACAAAAAAACACCACCCTTCTTGCATGTACCCACTGATTACAATTGGATTAGAAAACCCATTATTTCTTTGGTTATCAAAAATCTGTACACTTTGACGTGTATTAATTTATTTTCTTGTTTATGGGCAAATGAAGTTACAATGAAGTCAGTCTCTGACTTCATAAAACTTTAGATCAAGGCCAAAACATGGAAAATAGTGAAATATCCATGTTTTATAAAGTACATTTCAAAATGAATAAGTATTTTTGGTTTTTTAATCCTGAATAGTTTTAAATAGAAAGAAAAACAGAACCTAACCTGAGATTTATATTAACATTTTTGGTTTTTAATAATAGGAAAATTACTATGGAATAAATAAGTATTTAAAATTTTCCCCTTCTACATAAATGGACCCCAAACTTAAATGAGATGTTGTAAAAGTACTGTACAAAATAAAGTGTGAAGAAAAGGAAAGTAATGTTCTTCTGTTCTGAAAAATGAAGAATGGACTTGACATTGGGTTTTATTTTGGAAACAGTCTATACAACGTTTTTTGGGAAAAGAGAATTCTCTAGAATGTGGTTTTAAAATGCTCTTTTCTTTTCCTGATGATGTATCTATTACATTCTGGGAAATTTTATAAGTAGGTTTTGACTCAAAAATGGACAGAAATGAAAATATATGTCCTTTATGGTCCTTTATCTAAAATGAAAAGTATGTAATTTTATTCAATTACCATTTCCCCACACCTCTACTAATAATTTTTTTTTTCAGTGTTTTAACTGCTTCTGCAGTATAGATTTTAAGTCATGACAGAAAATAGAAAGTGCTGTTATAATTAGTGGTGTTATGTTCCATTATTTTGTATATCTGCATTTTAACAAACTTTAAAATCAAATAACTGTAATATTAATTATTTAATATATTTATTTATAGTTTTGGACTGACCTTTCAAAAGTCTACTTAGTATCACTTGCTAGTGAGATTATGTGTGTGAATGTTGTGTTTGCCCCTACCATTTTCCATATGCTCTGCCTCACCAACACTGCCATCCGGCGTAGTCCTTTCGTAGTTGTCCTCTGGGAGTGGAAGGGCACCCAGTCTTGGCCCTGATGAACTCTTACTGCTTGGTGTTTCTGACTCCTCCAGACCGCTGTCATAGCAACTCTGCAATGACCCTTGATGCGGGTCCTGAGGCTGACTCACAACAGAAAACGTCACTCTACGAAACGGCTGCAAGAGAAAAGATTCTGAATGTCACTGGAAAGTTCAGTCTTTGAACATCTGATTCTCAAAACATGACTTAAGCAAACTCATATTTTAACATTTACCAATTAAACAATTTTGTCTACATTAAAGCAAACAGAAAGTACAGTTCTTACATAAAAGGCCACTGGACTGAGTATGCATGGAATTTTACTGTAATACATGGTCCAGAACCTTCCCACAGTTTATTTTAGCCTCCTTCCAAATTGCTACATGGGCTAAGAAAGCTGGTTATAATTCTTTATAAATTTTGCACAGTTTCTCTATTAATAAGTTGTAATAAGTTGATCAGAATTAATATCAGACTGCATAAAGGTACTTGACAGTGTGTGCACATGTGTGTGTAAGATTGTGTGGGTGGGTAAAAATGCTCATCTGCAAACTATATTGTGGATATTACAAACATATCAACAAACCCATAAGACTTCTATAAACTCACTACCTGTGTTTCTGACAGCTAGTTAACATGAAAAAGGAGGGGGGGAAAAGGAAAAAAAAAAAAAAAGGAAAGGGACAAAAAAGTCTCTTAGGTCCTTTGCCATAAAAGCTGGTGCCTGGAGACAGGGTGTGTTGCCAACTGACTTAATAAAGCCTTTAAAGTACCGCAAGCACAGCTGACACAACACGCTTCCACTGGGACTGTACAAACATGGATTGTTAGAGATTTGTATTCATTCAAAATGACAGATATTACTGTTGCTCTGGAAGCCTACATGCTGAACCCTGGCACCAAGGAGAATCCCAGGAAGTGGAAGAGTCAATCCTTCACATTTCAGAGGACGATTAGGATGTGCAGGATTTTCAGTGAGATGTTAGGGGATTCTCCTAGGATTTGAACTACACTCAAGCAGCAATTATTCATTTAAAATAATTTAATGATACATTTTAAATAACTTGCTGTTCACAAGGCTAGAGAACTGCAGAAAAATGTCTGTTGTTCTAGAAAGCACCTTCTGAAACAAACACCATCAGATTCATTTCATAAGACACCATGCAAGTTTTCCTGTGTTTGAAATGGGGTGTCTGACAGTGCTGTCCTTTGGATTAAAATGTGTTTCAAGCTCTATGTTAGAATGAGACATAAGCATACATCATTCCCACTTGCAACTGTAATCACTATAGGATGGAAATCTATATGCAGGCCAGAAGGGAGAAAATAGCAACTGCAACCTCTCACACAAGCCCTGAAGAACAGAAGTCCACATCAGGTTTACAAGCAGAGGGGTAAGTGGAGTTTCATTTTGAGGGTACAAAATTCTTTTGAGGGTACAAAACTTTGAAGTTATAAAGGTAATTAGTGCTGATGATGGACAGGTTGGACAAAAAATATAATGCTAAACCTTCCTGGCACAAGTAGATCAAAAATTTAAACAGGTGATAGTTACCAGAAATACTTTACTGTAACTGATGGACCAAAACTTCATGAAATGAGATGTTGTAATCTGTAATTATGCATCAATTACTACTTAGTTGTGGGTCGATGACACAAACTGTGAAACCCAGAGATCTGAATTCACTTAGATCATCACACAGACTATTCCTGAATATCATACTATTCTGGCAGTCACATTTAGACCAGCTGAGCTGGGAGCAAGGCCCTTTGGCATCTACACACATCAAATTCACACAGTCATATTAGGTTTCCTTACTGTCTCAAACCCAAATTCCCTATAGCAGTGTCTTAGATGTCCCAATCCTTAAAATGATTTAATCTTGGCGCAATAACCATATAAAAAAAGTAAATAAGCTCGAGCTGGTACCTTTGAGGCGGGACCCTGAACTGAGGAAATCCTGAGCTTTTATACTTTCCCAGTCTAAGTGCATGGAAGTTGGGCTCTTCAGCTGCTGTGTCTTTGAGTGTCTGGTCACCTGGATGGGCACAGGGCACCCCACGACCTTTATTATGCAAAGGGTTAGAGGTCCATGGACTCTTGACTCCTAACACCCAGAGCTTCCACTGCAGCTGCTCACCAAGCTACCTACACTGACTATATTCCTCAGCATCATAAGGACATTGCATCATCTACAATTCCTGCAAAAACAGTGATGTAACTTAAAATGGGAATTACAAAAAAAAAAAAGCCAACAAATATTTGGAACTTTATGGTCCACTTCTTATTGATTTCTTAGAAATAAGTCTTAACTAGATCACAAGAACAGAACACCTTTTTATCATATCTGTAGCTACCACAAGAATCATAGCAAAGTTATCTAAAGTAAGTTTTGGAACAAGCTGTAAAAGATATAGGAGTATCCTGTTCATTTTCACATATTCTTTAAAAGCTATATGCCTTACCTAATTGGCATGTAGGGAAGAGATGTGACAGATGCAAAGCTGGGCTGTTTTATAGCTGAGGCGTAAAATTCCCTAAGAACATCACTATATATCCTTGAAACTAAAATAAATTTATGTACTTTTACTAAGTTGTTAATAATAGTTTTTTAGCAGATCTGGGTGTTAATCTTGATTTTTTTCTTAAATGCAGTACTGAATAGGAATTATCTAACACAAAACTAATACAGAGTATTCAGTTCAGTAAAGCCAGTTCTGCCCTTTCTGCAGAATATCAATGAGAATGACATAATGGTCATAAAATTCTTTCTGAAAGAATGATGTGCATGTTAATAGTTATTTTGCAGGATTTATTACACTTCTACTTTCAGTATAAACATCAGAATTCTGACCTTTCTATTGCATTACCTCTGACAACCAGACATTCTCAGGCAAATCTATTGCAAATTTTGAATGCATCCAGCCTCATGGAATAACATCATGGCCCGTCCTTTTCCAATAAAAAGAAATGGACTTGGATCATAATGCATTTCTGTTACCTGCATAGTTAGAAACACTCCATGATTAATATAAAGGATTAAAGACTAATATAAAGAATTTTAAGAAGAAAAGTAGATATCTGTATTGCATTGACTGTTTCCCACATGTCATCATCTCTGATATGCAAATTACCATATACTTTAGACAGTATAATCTGGATAAAAATGTGTCAAAGCAGAACTATCTGTTATAAAAGATACTGAGTTTTTATATACTTTGAATATTTGGGCTAAGTGAATTATGTCTCCTCATTTTTACACATAAGAACTAGGACATCTTAGAGATAAAGTTGATAAAAACACAGCAGTAAGTAAGGGATTGCCCTAAATTGCCTCTGAATAAACCCTTTATATGCATGTACATGTTGCTGGTCATGAAACTCATATTAGTCCTTTAATTGTTACTAATAAGAGCATTTAAGTTGAGTCTAAATCCCTATGAAGTTATGAAGTCTAGAATACTAATACATAACAAATACTACTTATGCATTAGTTTTTATAAATGCAATAAACCCCTTCCAAAACCAAGAACTTTCTTCATATACTCTAATCTTTGTTTATATCCTAATCTGTAAAACAGTTGAGGTTTCACATAAAACTGTATATTAATGAAACAAACAAGAGGGAAAGATGAAGAATGCTAGCATTAATATTTACAAAAAAATAGTGGCAAAATGCTGGTCTTCTTATGCATCTATATCCATGCAGAAAAAAAGGATAATAAGGTTCACTTTAACAAGCAAAGACAGATTACATACTAAATTTTGTTCTACCATTTATAAAATTACATCAGTAATTTCTCAGAAAAAACTGAGATGGGAAACTTCCAAATGCTGACAATTTAAGGCACCTACATATGAGAGGAGAGGGTTATGTTTAACTTTATTCATTTTTCAATGCACAAAATTAACACAGCTGCATCTGCCACCACTGTGAATCAACATGGTCAAGTTACTTTTACCCAAATAACACCACAACAGTTGAATTTGTCCATCCCAGTAAAAAAAGCAATCTTAAGCCTTTATTAGCCTTTTGGTAGGGTCTTAGGATATTCAGATTTAGTAAGTAGGTTTAGTAAGAAGACTAGGTTTGATCATTTTTGCCCTCTGAAAACTGAGATCATATTTTCTGTGAACAGCATATGGAGTTCTTCCTAATTGTGTCTATCTTGGAGATGAGCTCATCACAGAGAAAAAGTATACCTTTGCATTATACCTTAGTGGTAAACCTCCACTTCTTCCTTGTATCAACTATATTTCTTAAATGGGATAGTTTCTTTTCCACTCATCCATAGAACAAAAAACACTGCAATGCCAATCTTCCTGCTATCTGTAGTGATTTAGCTCTATTAACTTATTCTATGATACAGAGTTTATAACCTTAACCTGTATTAAATAATTCTCCCTTATCCCAGCTGGAAGCTAAAATGATATTTTCAGTACATGAAGAATCCTAGTTTTGGAGCTGGACTTTAGGGACAGAGTTTGAATAGACTTGGTGAAAAGCAATATATCCATACAGCTCCACAAGGCTTAACTGTGACGCTTTTTCATCATTATGAGAGAGATGATTTTTTTTTCATATCCTGAAGTTTAAAGTTTTGCATTGTGATTCCTGATATATCACACTGCTCATGGATTATATTCTTTCATGGTTTCTGTACCATGTATCAGTTGCTATCAACATTATAAACATTCAATGTTCAATATAAACGTTCAAAAATGTTGGTGCATTTGAACCGTAGAAGCAGAGTGGCAGAGTAAATCCTTTTTATGTTTAATTGTTTAGAGAGATAAGTTTGCAACCATCAACCATTCTCAGCCTATTGCTCCTCAACTTATTCTGTGTACAAAGTGTACGCACTAAAGTATAACTATCTTAGTTATTTAATACTTGGACAAAAATTGTAAGACTTCCAGGCCTTCCTGAGGTCACAATACCTACATCTCAAAACTATAAGGACTGAAAACATTTTAATCAACTGTAAAATGCAGTCCAAGATGTATATTAACATTTAAAGAAGCATAAAAAAAATTAGCCTAAACTGAGAACCAAGCTAAAGCAAGCTTTACTATTTCAAGTATTTCTAACAGTTTGTTCATTATTCGTTTGGACCTTACCCAAACCCTGGAAGG